CCAGCAGTTAGTAGTAATAGGAAAATAATCTTCTAGATAGACGGGCGGCAAATTTACTTGGACAAGGAGGGTCTATTTAACAATTTTTAATTTTACTTCTCACAAAAACTGATTGTTGAAAAACAGTTCTTGATTATCGTAGGAGATTTTTTAGTAAATATTTCATATTTCCTATCCAGTATTTTTTCTTATAAGTAATAGAATTTCAGGATTTTCATAGACTGCGGTTGCTTACATTGAAAAGTAAATAGTTCATAAAAACATCTTCAAGAAAACGGCCAGTTTAGTTAAATAAAGGTAAATGCGAAAGAAAAGCGACATTAAAATAATCTGCGATTTTAAAAAACATTGAAATAAGTCCGGAATCTTAGAGATAATTTTCTCATTATAAACATTATAAAGGGTGGAAGGAAGCTAAAGCGACAAAAAAATAAAAAGTTTCGAATATTTGAACTAAACCGGTTGAATATTAATGAAATTCTTTTTATCAATAATATCGTATTGATTTCGGCATTAAATCACTTATTTAGAGCGCATTTCATAAGTGTAAACATCGGAACAAACACAGAAAGCATCTTTTGGAAATAAACTTTTATTTGTTTTGTTAATCCTTTCTCTGTTAGAATTTTGTGATATTATTTGATCCAAAATTGTTTTATGGTCCAATATCCACTACTATACATATACACAAAAAATGCGGAATTCTGTCCCGCAGAGGAGAACAAAAGCGCTTCCGAATTATTTTGCTTCATTCTATAAGTTATCTTTTTATGACTCTGTTCATTGTCGATTTATTCAACATCGAAGCAAACTTCTTACAAAAAGATAATTTCTTAGTGAAGTGTTTCCTTTCCTTTCTCTACAGTCTTTGCATATATTATTACTCGTCATATTTTTTAATAGTAGATATACTTGAATACCTGCAACGAATATAATTTTTAAATTCCGGTTTTTCTAGTATTTCGCCTTTTGTATATCCATCCGTTGAACATTTTTCTGTAGATCTGGTGTGGTTGATAATTTTTTCGGTTTTTTCCTTCTTTCTGTTGTTCCACCTGTCTTAAGATGTTGATCACTGTTAAAAATATCGTCTTGTTGGTCGTTTTAAAAATGTCTGTTTAGAGCTTTTTATATTCGATATTTCAAACAGTTTTCACTTTGCCTCATTTGGATGAGTTATGCGAACGAAACGGCGCTTTATAAAAAAAAACGCATAGTGAATTATATGTTTCTTTTTTATATCAGTTATTCTATTGGATTGGTTATGTTTGATGACGGAAACTTGCTTACTTACAAGTTGAAGTTCCTATTTAATTTAAGCAGTAAAGCTGAATTTTTCATTTTGCCCATTCAACCACGGATAAAAATAGTTGTTTTCAATTAATTCCCAATTCCCACATAAATAGCCATTAGAAAACACTCAATTATTTACCGAGGTTATCACTATGTGCTTGGCTAAGTTCAGAGTTCGACAAGGTAAAGGTTTGCTTTGTCTAGCCGAATTAAAAAATTGTGGCTTAAAATTAGCTGTTGTTTCACCGACTAACCCAAGTGTTTCAGCATTTTGCATTTTACCATCTGTAGTGTGGAAGATATTTTCAGCCTCTATGTTGCGTTACTATAACAGGTATATAACACATGTTCAACATTTTTATGGGCCTCAGATGGTTTATTAGTGTTCTTAAATGGAAATAAATTTGTCGGTTTTATGTGCATTATGGCCATAAAGTTAAGAGTTTCCTTAAAAAAAGTGTCTTATTTTTAGTGCGGATGGTTTGCCATTTTTTTCTGTAAATACTATTGAAAACTAAGAGGGATTTCAGACTGACGAGGTATAAATGTGGACAGAGACAAAATAATACATATTTTTTTACATAACTGTTCAAGAATTTGAAATAGTTAAATTAGATAATTGAAAAATCCGGTAATTTTAAGCCGTCCTGAGAGCGGTGACTTGAAAATATTGCATTGAAAAATCTCTGGGTGTTCCGACCATCACAGTAATGTCCCATTATTAGCCAAATAGAGCTGTTCCATCGAATTTTCATTATATGCCATCTATAAATTCCACTATTAAAGTAACTGGAAACGCAAGGAAATAAATGCATCCAACTGTATGCAAGTCGTGACGATAACCACCAATCTGGTTAGCATGTCGGGTCAACGTCTGAGGAATCGGCAATAACAATCGCAAATATTGAGGCGATTCTCTTCTGATGGGTGAAACAGTTCAGATAATATTCAGTGAGCAAGCGATAAACCAAGTGGATTATTTAAGGAGAATAGCGCACAAGAATTTAATTGGAAATAATGCTCCAAATGTTTAGGAAACCGTTGGAAATAAGCGAAATTCTCCCGCCTCCATTTTATTCAAAATTATTTTTGGGCGGAAACGTATCTTCGTTCAACAATTTGTTTGAGATTCGGTGGTTCTTCTGCCCATTTCACAGCTTTAAAAAATAAATCTGGGCTTTCATTTTAAAAGCTGTGAAACAACCCGAAAATCCATCAAACATCTAAAAAATCGGCAATATATTTCGCCATCGAACCTGCAACATCGACATTTAAACCAATAATTCAGTTGAAAGAGTGTTGAAAATGCAGTTCGTGATAGGCTGCATTCTTCAACACATCCTTAAATGTGCTTATTCAAAGTTCGAATAGAAGAACATTTACTTTTGTTGCGAAGTGCACAATTGAAATTTACTTAATCAGATTGCTTTGATTAGTAGGTAATCAAACAATGTCTTAATCTCCAATTGAAGATGTTTTAAACATACCCAAAACTACAAACCTGTCTGACAAAATCGTAAAAAAGCATGATTAGGGTCACAACCTAAATATCTGATTAAAACAGATGTTGAAGAACCAGATTAACTTCAAATGCAAGCAATTTACAAGTGTAACATATTGTAAGATACAAAATGAGAAAAGAAATCTAAATAAATTTGCAATTAGCTACGGATAGGTAAACATTTAATTTAATTTAATATGCCTATTAGTATTCACTATTGTATTTTTTATTAGTTTTGCATGTAAAAGTTTAACACTTTGTTCGTGTTGCAACATTATTAACTTTCAAGAATAGTCGACTATTTAAAAACGTTTACAATGACTGTTTAACCCACTACCTACTTTTTTCAACATTTTCTAAAGCCACGTTTAATTTTGTAAATATTTTTGGGGGCAGTCGGCTATTTCATTATTTGCCTATCTATGTAGCTTTCCATATCTTTCACTTGTTTGAACATTTATATGAAATAAATTGAAATTTAAGCCGTGAAGATTTTCCGAACCACGAAAATTGGACATTTTTCAAACAAACCATTGGTACATACAGTTAAACCCACTTTCAAGTGTCTGAAAAATTAATTTTTATACATTACTTTTAAACTGATTTTTGCAACTTTCTATATTTTCAATGTTCTTCTATAAAAAAAATGCATGAGATAATAAATCTCTTGATGATTGATTCTAACAGACACACAATTTAAAGCGTAAATAAAATAATATTTTTCAAGCAATCAAACCGTGTCTTGTTGCATCGCGATTAATCTCAAGACGTATCTTGAAAGCGGATAAAGAACTGAAACATGTGTGTGTGGTATACGGGATTATCAAGAGGCATATAATAACGTATGGTTTAATGCATGTAACGCGGACTTGGGCAATAAAATGTGATTTATTGTCTACAATAATACAGTGTGCTTCATGCAATTATCCTTTGATTTGTTAGCACTAGTTTCGAAAAAACAGCGGTTTGCATCTGTTAAATATCCGATCAATAGCGATGTTGAACTGCGTTTTTCTCTCAGCAAAGTAGAGAAAAAACTGGCAGTTATTGTTTAAAATCAGACGATATTTCTATCAGGAACATCGCCCATATAGGGAAACCATGTTACAGTATATTTTAGCAGTTAAACAAGCCATGGAATGGCTAGATTGGGATTGAGATGTTTTCTTTTAACGCATTACAACGGCACGCAAAGACTTTGTCTCGATTTCTGCTCTTTTTAATTAGCTTGAAGATCCCATGATTTGCTCGTTATTCGATTGGAAAATTTTGAAAATGGAAGTAGAACTATCAGGTTGAATATTACGCAGAAACGCATACAAGCGTTGCACACACTGAGACTCTTTCGATTGATGTGGTTCAGCTTGGGAAATTATCAGCATTTCACCGGTTTCCATCGTTCCAAGAAGCACAATTTTCATTTCCTGCCAACTCCAGAATAAAATGTTGCGCCAACAAAACGTGTGTATTTTCATTATTTCACTTGTAGCATTTAGAGCGACGCATTCTCGCATCGTCTTTGTGTTATTTCAGTACAAGAATAAACAGCGCTTTTAGCCGCTGCTATATAAAGCTTTGCTGGTTTATAAGGTTTTTCATTTTACACTTTGCCATTCGTCATGAAAGATCGCAATTGTGAGCGGAACCTGCAAGTTCGGTGCTTGAACTCCCTAAAATATATGATTTGCAATGTAAGTAAACTTCGATTAAACGGTTTTTTATGAACAATAAACAATTTTGTAAGTTTAAAGCAATGCCAACTTTTTCGGATGTATATTGAACAATTTGGAAACTTTGCAGTTTAAACCTATGAATATGAGAACCAAAATTTATGAAAAATTCGTTTCGATTTCTTTGACCGCAGCAGTAGATTATTAACAATGAAACTGATTCGCGAGAACTTTTCAGCTGTTTTACACTCTATAGTTGGCGTGTAATGCAGCTGTCGACATATGTACAACAGCTTTACATGCAAAATTACAAGTGCTTTGAAATTATTTTCTCATTCTTTATATTACCGTATTCCTATATGTGGGCCCAGTGACCGAAAAAACCACTTTCCATACCAGCTTCTTGCAAACGCAAACAACAGTCCCGTTATATATAATTTTTATATTATTTCAAATAATATAACAATCATTTGAAACTGAGCATTTATTTTCTGGCTTCTGCTGATTTGTTGGTAAATAATGTTTTTTTGCTGCAGGTGTCGACTTAACCGCTAACCAAGAGGAAATTTCGGACCATGAAACTTTCCAATTGGAGTTCGATTGGAGTACCAAGCGATGGTACATCCGCACTATGCAGGATAAATACTGGACTTTGGAAACTGGAGGAGGAATTCAGGCTGCAGGGGACAAACGGTAAGAAGACGACATTTTTTGCATAAATTGCTCGTTGATTCCTGAATCCCAAAATGTTGTTTTTTGTTTAGAATTAACTTTTCTTTACGTGTTGTTGGCGAAGTTTTACTTAAAACTGTAGTATTTCTACTCTGGTGCGGTAAAAATTTGGTTTCAACAATAATAATCTTTTTTTAATCTTAATTTATCTTAAAATAAGCTGCTATAAGCTTAAAGTAAGCTTCTATAAGTGTTGTTACCAAAGGTTTACTTTAAAGCCAAGGAAATTGTAGTCCTGCTTTAGAGCGAGACAGATTCAGTTTTTACAATAGACATCTCGATTTGTTCTTTTATTGCAGCATTGATTTTTCTTAAAATTAGTTTTCTACAAGAGTTTGTGTCAAAGTTCCACTTTAAAGTCTGATTTTAGATTAGGAAACATGCTAAAATTTCACTTTAAAGCTTTAGTGTGGAAATTGTTGTTTTTCTGCTCCAAAGCGGAGAAGATTTAGTTTTCTGCAATAATCATCTAGTTATGTTCTTTTAAGAAAAAATCAATCTCAAAGCATTTATTTTTTCCTTAAAATTAGTTTTCCTGCAAGAGTTTATGCCAAAGTTCAACTTTAAAGTCTTAGTGCGGTAAAGATTCGGTTTCTACATAAACATCAGGTTCATATTTTAGATCGCAAAAATTAGTTTCTTTCTTAAAATAAGCTTTTCTATCAGTTTTTAGGCCAAAGTTTTATTTTAAAGTGTTAGTGTGGAAATTAGGGTTTTTCTGATCTAGAGCTGTAAAGATTCAGTTTCTA